ATTTTTTTTTTTTTACTTAAAAAAGGTAATGAAAAAATTCCCACCGCCCTCCCCTCGTCCCCTCCTCCTCCCCCTACTCCCCATTTAACGAAATCGCAAAAAAAAAAACTAACGATAGTAATGATAATGAACAAACGCATCGAAAAAAAAAAAAAAAAACTAAACATTAATTTCGTACACATTTAAAAACAAAAATTTATTAATTTTACCTGTAACTGGTTTTTAATGTCGAAACCTTTTTTATTAATTAGTTTTATTTAATAAAATTATTATTATCTAAGTGATAAAATTATTGACATATTTATTACATGTCATGTCACACACTTTCAAAACGGAAATTCAAACAGGAAGAGACAAAAAAAAAATTTTTTTTTTTTAAATAGTTTTTAAACTTGATTGGCACTTTAAAAAAAAGAAAAAAAACAATTAATAAACGCAATATACGAAACTTGTAATTTGTTTATTATTATTATTAACGAACGGTCGGATAAATAAATAATTATTACATATATATAAACAATAACTTCCGATATCAAATTTTCATTTTCACTTTGAAAATCACCCGTTAATAAGAGAAAAATTCAATCGTGTGAATTTCTAAAAAAAAAATTTTTTTTTGGTGATGAAAAGAAATAATGGCGAAGAAAAAAAATGTTTTTTTTTTTTTTTTTATTAACGTGAACGGGGAATAAGGCGATCACGAACGCGTTCGAACTGGAACGTGGCGACTATACCATGGATTTTATGTACTGTCGGAGGCACCATTCACGATTCCAGGGCGTGCCGGGCTGAGGCTTTTCACGCGCAAGCCTATTCTTACTCTGTCCTCATTGATTTTCATAAATACCAGGTTACAGGCTACAAAGCTAAATTCACACACCCATTGTAAAAAAAAAAAAAAAGAAAACTTTTAAAACGAAAAAAAAAAGAAAAGAGAAGAAAAAAAAAAATCTTTCGTTAATTTATCCTAAACCGGAAGTAGAATCGCACTTAGAATTTTCTAGAATTAATATTCAAAATAAAAAATTATTATTATTTTTTACATCACACGCGAGTCGTTAATTAATTAAAGTGTTAAAAAAAAAAAAAAATCGTGTCCACGACACGTCATCATCGTTTGATTTACACGAGAATCGTAATTGTATTATTATTATTATTATTCCACGGGATCAAAAATAATAATAATAATAATTTTTCTTCTTCACTCGATCCTTTCCTTTCCCTCTCTCTCTCTCTCTCTATGTTTCTCTCGTTTTATTTAAAAAAAAAGAAGAAAATCCCTTTTCGGTTTTTATTCATATCCCTTACCACCTGACTGTTATCATCATCATCATTATTATTATTATTTTTCTCTCGGATGGATATTTCTGGGAAATTATTACTTTTGCATTACGTATTTAGTTTTGGAAAACGACGATTGTGATTGTCATTATGTGCGTGAGTGCGTGTGAATTGTTTTAATAATTTTTTATTAAGAGACAACCTCATTTTCTATCATTCTTATTCCACGTTTCTTTTTATAAAAAAAAAAATTATTATTATTATTTTTTTCGGTTGACTGCCTTTCATTCCTTTTATTAAAAATATATTCACGGTTTTCCCCCCCCCCTCATCCCTCCCTCCTTGGTAAAAAAAAACGAACGAGTTTATTTAATTTTTTTTTATAAAAAAAAAAAGGTAAAAATGAAAAAATTATTATTATTATTATTATTATTATGTTCTTCTTTCGTAATTTTATTTAAATTATTTTCATTTTGTGTTCTATTATAAGAAAACCACAAAAAGGAAACGTGTCACAAAGGTCTACTATCACTTATCATCATCATCAATGCTTTTATCAATTTATAAAAAAAATAACCGTTAAAATTTTTTAAAAAAAATTAATTTAAAACCTTTTTTTAACGGTCCTTTTTCTCGTCACACATTTTGTAAAAGGCATTTTATCGCGTGTGAACGCGAGTGTATTACGTTATACGTTCGTTTAATTATAAAAAAAAAAAGGAAAGAAAAAAATATGACAAATCGATTATTAAAATCTTTATTATTTTAAACCTTTTCATGAAAAGGTTATTTGTTGTATTAACTAGCCAACAAGTGTTTTTCCTCTTTCAATAAAAATTTTCCTTAACAAGTTTTTGTTCGTAAGAATATATTTTCTTATGATAAATTATGTTGTGTCGTGGCACGAACGATTTTACAACAAATAATTTTTAATTTTAAAAATTAATAATAATAATGAAATTTAAATACGTATAAACGTTTGTTGTAGGTTGTTGTCGTTGGTTGTTGTCGTCGGTTGTTGTCGTCATCGTTGTCGGTCGTTAAATCGAACATGAAGAGTCAATTTAAAATTTTTTTTTTTAATGGGAATAGATAGGAGGGGTCGTGTCATTAAAGGTGGCGATCGGTCAGGTTTTTAATTAGTTTAATTATAATTAAATTAATTTGTTATCACGTGATGTGATATATATGTATTTATAACGAATGTGTGAAAACGACAGTTCGATTAATATTTCCTATCGATGATTGGTTTTAAACCAAAATTTAATTTTCCATCCATCTTTTTTTTTTTTTATGTTTTTCCCCTTTCCCCTCCGCTTTTACGTTAGCCATTTACTAATTAATATATATTTTTTTTTATATACGGAAAAATCTCGTCTCTCACTCTCACTCTCTCTTTCTCTTTTTATTAATAAAAATTTAGTGTGTGAAATTTTTTTTTTTTTTTTGGATTTGCCAGGCGTTTTATAAACTTTTTTAATTTAATGGTTTCTTAAATCTTAATTATTGATTGTATAAAAACTACTTTTCCATTTCTTTTTTAACTTTTTTTTTTTTTAAAGACATATATAACGTTTCCTTTGGTCAGTCTGATTTTTTTAAAACTATCTGTCCTTATCGATCCCCACAATTTTTTATTTCTCTCTCTCTCTCTCTCTCACTCCCCATCATTTATCATTACGAATCGTGTATAATTTTACGTTACGATTTTAACGGATTTTTATAACGCGTATAATTATTATTATTATTTTTTTATTAGGTTGTTTTAACCTTTTGCCCCCTTCTCCTCTCCTCCCCCACCCACTCGCTCTCTCCCCCCTTTCCCGTCCTCTTTCCTCGAAAAATAAAAAAAATGCGTAACGTTAATAGAAAATAATGTCAACGAATTACATTTAATTTTAATTTAATTTAAAAAAATGTGATGATTGCGAAACTGCCATGAATGCACTTTTCTTTTTTTTTTTTTTTAAACATCGAATGATAATAATAATAATAATAATAATAATAATAAACGATTTAACAGTTGTCGTAAATTGCTGACGAAACTTTTTTTTTCGATTGCTAATTAATATTTAAAGAAAAAAAAAACGTGGAAATGGATCGTTTAATAAAAAATAATCGTTAAAAAAAAATATACGTTTTTTATTTTAAATTATTATTATTATTATTCCTTGGAAAGAATTAAATAAGAAAATCTTTTGTTAAAGATATTTTGATTTTGAAAAGTTATGAATGAGGGGGGGGGGAGCGGGGGTGGTTAAATATAATACAACACAAAATGAATTTTCATAAAAATGGTATCAGTTTTGTGACGTTTTAAATTCAATGCCGTGATTTCGGTTTTTTTTTTTTTTTTGTTAGCCATTTTCCTCAAAAGAAAGTCACGATGATGATAATAATAATAATAATAATAATAATAATAATAATAATAATAATAATAATAATAATAATAATCTTAAAAAAGCTAAAGGAAAAAAATATAGAAAAAATTGAATTTTCGCCCGAGGATTTTTTTTCTTTTGTCAAATACATATAAATTTTCCTTTTTTTTTCGAATTATAAAAAATAAAAATAAAAATACGATTTTTATATTTGTTTTATGATTAAATCATAAATTTATAATAATAATAATAATATTGAAAAAATTGGTGGGAGATTAAATATAAAAAAAAAAAAAAATTTAAAAGTCAGTTAAATATAATTAAAATTTGGCAAAGTGTGATTCTGTCAATCATTTTTAAAAAAATACTTAGTTTTAATATCATTATTATTATTTACGACGAAAATATAACGGTCATTAAATAAAAAAAAACAAACATTTTTATTTTTTTTGGATGACGATACTTTAGGAAAAAAAAATATTTTTATTTAAATCAGACAAATAATTTAAAAATGAAAAATAATAAAAAAAAAAATTTGCGTACATTAGGATAACATAACGTGATTAAAAAAAGAAAATTTAATTATAATTTACTTGGGTTTTTCCCGGATTTTTCTGATTTGAAATTAAATTAAAATGATGAGGGGGGGGGAAGGAGAAAATTTTTTTTTTATTGCCTAAATTAACAAATTCGGTTGCTGAGAAAATTGAAATAATATTGATTTTCTCATGCCGGTATGAAAATTTTCTTGTGGTGAAAACGAGTTTTCATTAAATCAATTGCGCATGATTAAAAATGAAACCGGTTATCAGGTGATTGTTCATTTATTTTATTTATTTATTTATTTTTGCACGTGGGAGTTTTTTTACTTAAATAAATTTAAACTGTTTATTTTTAAAAAAAAATTTACAATTATATATACATATTTAATTTTAAGGTTTGAATTTTTTTTTTGTTGATATTTTACTATTGGAAAATTCCAGCATTGAAAATTTAGGGAAAATCTTTTTTTTAATTTTGCCGGGAATGGACATTGAATTAAAGTAAAAACGATTTATTATTATTTTTTGTTTTATTCTACGTGTATTTTAAAGTTTTCTTTTGATAAAATGATAAGAAATTTTAAATCGAACGTGTTTTTTTTTAAATAAAAAAAAAATAGATGATTTTAACAGTTATTTTTAAAAAAAAGTTAATTTGGCAACACTGTAAGGAATGAATAGAAAAAAAGAGAACGAATCTGAATCGGCCATTTTGATTTAAGTTTCGACGCCACGCTGTTCGTTCTTTTTCAACATCGGTTTTTTATATTATAGTTATAGTTTCAATTAGGTAAAAATGTCTGCAGCGGCTGTAAAAAAGGAAAACGAAACTCCACAAGCAAATGGACCAAAGAAAATTGACGATAATAAACCACCACCAAAGGGACCGGGCGGTGACGAAGTTAATTCAAATAATAAATTTCATGGGGGACGCGGCCCTCGTGGTGGCGGCGGCGGCGGCGGTGGTGGTGGTCCTAGAGGACCCGGTGGACGAGGTCCTGGAGGAATGGATCACAGGAATAAAGGACCAAGAAGGGATGATCACAGAATTAAAGTTGAGGTAATTCGGGTTCTTTTTTTTTTTTTTTTAATAATCAAAATAACCGGCATGGAGACGATCGCGTACCTGTTTGACCTACCATTAAACGTTTTTTATATTTTGTCATAATATTAGGAATTTTATCATGTTAAATATTATTCTTTTACATGTTTTAAAAGTACGACTCATTCTTTAAATAGAAAATTCAAATATTACTGTACATAATACACCTCATTAAACATTTGAGCTCACTGAGTTGTAACTACAGGAAATCTATTTTTAGATGAATAATTCAGATAGTGGTCTTGGTGATCAAAACAGGCATAGAAGCGGAGGAGGCCCTGGCATAACTAGTGGAGGGCCTATGTCAAGAGATGAAAGAATGCAAAGATCTCAAGATGTTAGTTACTATTTATTTTATTAACATATTGATACCACGAAAAGTTATTTTTCTATTAAGCATCAAACTTTACATGTACTTTTCAGGATCGACTTATAGATAGGATAGCAACAATATCTGGTCCCACAATAGAACTACCTCCAGTAGATGCAAAAGAAAAAAAATTTTCTGGTAGATGTAGATTATATATAGGTAATTTGGCAAATGATGTGACAGAAGAAGAAATAAAGCAATTGTTTGCTCCATATGGTGAAACTTCAGAAATATTTATTAATTCGGAAAAGATGTTTGCTTTTGTTCGAGTGGTGAGTTTCCATGTTTGCATTTAATTTTTATAAATTTTTATTACATGATGAAAGTAATTACCGGCTGAATTTTTATGATTATAAAACCATGGCTGCTTATAAATCTGATTCTTGGTGTTGACTTATCATAATGTTTTGCTCTTAACAATAGATGACTACAAAAATTGTATTTTATTTTTTAGGACTACAGATCGAATGCAGAGAAAGCCAAAAGAGAATTGGATGGTTTTATGAGGAAAGGACGTCCCCTTAAAGTTCGATTTGCACCTCATAGTGCAGCAATTAAAGTCAAAAATTTAAATCAATGGGTTACAAATGAGCTGCTCGAGTGGGCTTTTCAAGTATTTGGAGAGGTAATTTTTTTTTTTTTGAAGCTTTTGGTTACTTAAATGTATCGAGATTTGTTGTTTGATATTGAGTATTTAATGTTTCATAGATTGAAAGAGCAGTTGTTATCGGTGATGAACGTGGAAAATCTACAGGCGAAGGTATTGTAGAATTTGCTAGAAAACCTGGAGCTACTCAAGCATTAAGAAGATGTACAGAAGGATGTTATTTTATAACATCGTAAGAATTTATTTTGTATTTTATTTGAAATTTATATAAAAATTTTTTCCTTTTTTCTTTGGTTAAATGAAAAAAGCAAACAATTATTTTTTTTATTTATAGATCATTAAGACCAGTAATTGTTGAGCCTTTAGATCAGGTAGATGACATTGATGGATATTCAGAAAAAAGTCTTTTTAAAAAAGGACCAGAATTTTTTAAAGAACGCGAAGTATGTTTTTTTTTTTTTTTACCTTTTTGCTTTCTTACCTTTTGTTGAAAAAAAGCAATAATAATAATTTTTTTTTGTTTGTATTACCAGGTGGGACCTCGATTTGCTAATCACGGAAGTTTCGAGTTTGAATACGGGACTCGTTGGAAACAACTTCATGAATTATACAAACAAAAGGAAGAAGCTCTTAGACGTGAAATGAAAATGGAGGAAGAAAAATTAGAAGCTCAAATGGAATATGCAAAATATGAACATGAAACTGAACTTTTACGAGAACGTTAGTTATCCATTCGAAAAAAAAATAAAATGACAATTCTAAAAAGATGAAGGAAAAAAAATATATAGTAGTATTATTTATATATTTTAGAGTTGAGGCTTCGAGAGCAGGATAAAGAACGACAAAAACGTGAATGGGAATTGAAAGAAAGACAAGCGGAGGAGCAAAGACGAAGTGATGAAGAAATGATGAGACGACAAGCGGAAGAAATGCAATTAAGAATTCATAGACAAGTAATTAATTATTTAATTTAAATTAAAATTTTTTTTTATTTTTTTTATTTTTTACTCAAGTAGTTAATTTTTTTTGTGTACGTTTTTTGTAAAGGAAGAAGAATTGAGGAGAAGGCAACAGGAAAATACGTTATTTATGCAAGCCCATCAGTTAAACAGTTTATTAGATCAACAAGAACAGGCATTAGGTAGTGGACCTGGAGGTTATGATTCTGCTGGCCGTGGTCATATGGATATGCAACCTGGAAGAGATTATGACCAAGGTAAAAAAAATTAATTTTGATATTAAATTTACAAAAAATTTTATTATTTTTTTTTTTTTGAAACGTTTCCATTTTTTAAGGTGATTTTTTTTTTTTTTTTCTCTTTTTCTATAGGATCGATGGGCAACATGCCAATGGTAATGTACACTTTTCCTTTCTACTCTAGTAAGTAGGATTAACAAGCTTTTTTTTTTTCAGCTTTGCCTATTCATTATTTTTAAAACAAAAATTCGTACTTTTTTTTTTTAAATTTTTTAATTTTAAATTAACGTAACGTGGTGAAAACCTTTTTTTAGTATATTTTACTCTGATATCGTACGTTTTGATATCAGAATTTACGTTTAAAAAAAAACGCAATTAGAATTTAAAATTTTCGACGATTGCAGGACGATCGATATAATGAAATTTTACTTTAGGGATAATTTTTTTTTTTTTTTAATGGTGATTATTCTTGGTTGCATTGTAACGTGTGAAACCGATGCAACCGTGATTATTTATTTTCAATAGTATTGATTTGAATACTCATCACGCGTTGTTTTTCATTATTTAATCGCGTGTCGCAAAAAAAAAAATTTTTTTGCTCTTACTTTGCATGGCTACCGATAAAAAAAATAGATAAATAAATAAATAACAGATTTTATTTAAAGGATTCCACGCTCGACGACGTATATCGTCGGGATTATTTTATTTGTTTTAACGCATATACAAATATTTGATTATTATTATTATTATTAAATTATTTGCTTTTTAATAATTTTTCAGCGGAAAAGAAAATTTTGGGGATAAAAATTTGCCCATATCTAATTGAGATTTAGGTATAAAAAAAAGTTTCGACGCACTGTACGTGTAACTGATTTACGTTACATGATATTTAAATTATTTAAATGACGTATATGATGATGAAAAAAAAAATTTATTTTATTTTATGGTTGTAGTTTGGTTAAAAAAGACGATGAACTAAATGATGAAATTCATTTAAATTTTTTTTGTCTAAAAAGTGTGTTTTATATTATTCATCAATGTCGTTTTGTGAATGTAATTTTCTTTTGTGCCCGTAAAAAAAAATGTGACGAATTAATATTCACAAGCGAATCTTCTGACTTTTGTTAAAATAATGAAAGAAAGGTGTTGTCGTTGTTGTTGTGTTTTTTTATGTATATACATTCGAAAAAGGGTGAGACAACACCCCGATTTAATGATTTTTTTTTTTTAAATGTCATTGCGGGTGTTGCAAATGTTGAACGACCATGTTGAAAGCAGGGAAAAAAGGCGGGGGGGGGAGGAAACAAAACTGATATTTTATGTTGATTTTAATTTTTATAAACTGATTAAGTTGAATTATGTCAAAAACGTATGCGTGCTACGATTAAATGATTATAATTATTAATTTTTTTTTAAACGCGTAAACAAACGATGATGAAATTGTTTATTATTTTCGTTTTGTAAATTTGTTTTTTTTTTTAAATTATTTTTGTGAGCGAAACTATTGATTTTAATCAATAGTTTATTGGCTTCTTTCTCGAGTTGTTTGTTTTTGAGTTAGCAAAGGAATCATCAAATTTAAATGTCTTAATAATGTAGAGTCTTGGAAAAGAAAATTTTAAATAATATTTTTCTTTTTCATTTAATATTTAAAATCAAGAATTGATAATATTGTTTTGGTTTTGTCTTGTTATAGGGGGGAAGGACGGGGAAGGGGATGGATGGTGAGGGGTAAAAGGAAAAGGAGGAGGAGTAGGAGGGGAAACTTGCACGATTTACACATTACGTGCCAAGCATATCATTTATTATTTACTTTAAATTATTTATAGAATCTGTTGTTTTATTGCAAAATGCTTATTTAAAACTTTTGTTTAATTGACTTCTATACTTTATTCGAAACAATCGCTATGAAAGTTTTTCATTTTACCAAATTCGAAATATTTTATCATATTTAAATTTGTTTCTATAAAAAAATTTATTTTAAAACGTCTGCGTATCTGATAAAGTTACAAATTTTCGTCATTTAAATATTTAAATTTGATTTATAAGATTGATTGTATCTTATGACCATCCACCGCTTGTGGACACGCTAATTAATCATTTAAATTTATTTTTATAGTAATTTTGGATTGATGTACATTTCGAAATATACTTTATATATTGATTGTAATTTATCGGAAATTTACGTCGAGATGTTGGCAATCGTGTTTGCAATTTATAAAAATATGAAACGTTATCACTTGTTTAACTTTATTATATAAAATATTTATATATATAAAATTGTTCGCTTTATGCGAGTTCATAAAAACTTTGGTTTAAATAAAAGGAGGGGGAGTGGGGGGGGAATGAAAAATTAATGGATGTACATTTTATAACAATATATTTGTCTCGGGTAAAAAAAAAATAAAATCGTTAAATTTTACGGTTTTTTTCAATATATTTATTTATTTCGTTTTAAAAATTGCGCGGGATATAGTTATATGCAAGTTGTATTTAATAATAATAATAATATTGGTTTTTACTCTATGATTTTGTCATGGAATCAACAAAAAGTTGTATCTTATGGTTTTAATGTGTGAAAAGTTGAAAGAGTTTCGCTGTGATATATTATGTTAAAAGTCACTTTGAATCGGTGCACATTTTTTTTTTTTTAAAATTATATTTAAAAAAAAGGTTTTTGAGGAGCGTTGTGTGTGTGTGTGTGCGGCGTATGCACGCCGACACGCAATATGGTCATGTAATGATTTTGGTTTTAAAAAACAAATAAGAAAAGCAAATAATAGTAATAAGGTGGTGCATAAATTCCTGGGGAGGGTAGGGGAAGGGTGGGGGGAAAGTTGTAAATATTTAAGATTTCTGGTTTCTACACGAATAGAAAATATAAACGACTGCAAATATTATATATATATATAAATTTTTTTTTTTTTTATAAAAGAAATTTGCGACTTGATTTGAATGTGTTTTTTGTATTACATGAATTATGTACGTTGAAATATTTGAAATCTCGGTGAAAGTTTATGAAGAAAAACGTTTGTTTGTTTGTTTGTTTTAATTTCGACGTGAAATGTAAATAGTATAATTTAGCAAAATTTAAAAAACTTATTCTCGGTAATAAGAAAAAAAAAAACGAAAGAAAAATTTTTTTTTGATTTTTCCGATTATTAATTTACATTGTAACGTAAAATCGTGGTTTAAATTTACGAAAAGGGGGAAGGGAAAGGGAAACATTTGTACCGGGGGGGGGGGTTGAAATGAAAAAACAGTGAAAGTACCAACGCACTGCTTGGTGCGTATAATAAATTTTTATAATTTATTTTATTATTGGATTTTTTTTTCGGTGAAAATCAAATGTTCGATTTGAAATTATCATTATTATTATTATGATTGGTAATTTCATTTCTTAATTTTTATTAGGTTTTTGATGTCGTCCGTGCAAAAATGATGCTTTAAACGAAAACACGTTTATATTTATTATTTATTTATTCGCATGTTTTTGTTTTGTCTTTTTTTTTTGCGTATATATTTTGTTATTTTAGGCACATGAAATATTGTGCATATGAATTTTGCTGTAAATAAGAAAAATATTGATTATCGCTATTTTAAAATAACCTATGAATTTTTTTTTTTGGTTATTAAAACCCGAAGTGAATGTTAAAGTATTTTCACAAAATTGAAGGAAAATTCGCAATAAGAAAAGTTATTTGAAAAAAATTAATTAAATAATTAATTATATAAATAATTATTAAAATTATTTGATTTAATTTATTAAAATTTTTATGTGTTGAAAGTATTGTAGTTTTATAAAAAGGACGTTTGAATGATGACGTGTTTTTAAACTAACTAATACCCGTGAGGAATCCTTTACCTTACGGGTACTATTTTCGATTTTTTTCTTTTTTTCGCGATCATTATTATTATTATTGTTGTGTATGATTATAGGGGGGGGGGGTCAATAAAACGGGAAAAAAAAAAAATGAAAAGTTTGCGATTTGCAAATGAAATTGTTGCATGGTTTTTTTTTTTTAATTATGTACTTAAATACTAAATAAATTTTGAGATTTGCAGTAAGAATTTTGATTGTCTGCACAACGACAAAAAATAAAAAAATTGGGAATTTTAAATTGCAACACGACCCTTTTCAAAAGGTCTACATATTATTGAAAAGAAAAAAATTTTTCTTTTCCCTTAATTTCCTTACGGTTTAAGAAAAGTTATATTGTTTCGCCATTGATATTACAAGAAATGATTTTCTATTTTTATTTAATGTTAATGGGTCCGTTTAATATTGTTTCCGTTAACGGTGTAACGGAAATGGCGGTAATGCTTGTTTATTATATTTATCTGTTTTTTTTTTTTTTTTTTTTTTTAATGGGGGGAAAGAGCTTTTTGAAAAGAAAAGTTTTACGTTTAGAGAGAATAATATTGATAATAATTATAAATTGTAGTCGTTTTTGATTTTTGGTGTAAGTTTCCAGTAAATCTTTTTTTTTAAACTTATTTAACAATTAAATAATGAAAGTTGATTTTAATCATAATCGTACATTATAAACGTATGGAAACGTAGATTTAAAAACAAAAAAAGAATGAAAAACTATTAAATTAAAGGGAAAAGTTTGAAATGAGAGACTCATTTCCGTCTCTCTCTCTCTCACACAAAAATTTCTTTTCCTAGTTTTCCTCCCGATTTTTTTTTTTTTTTTTTATTATTCTTTTTTTTTTGTATAACAAACTTTTTTTTTTTGACTGGTGGATATTAATATTGGACAGGACCAGAAAACATTCCTGGATTCGTACGACCGTCACGGAGGGGGCAGAGGAGGTGCTGGAAGAGGTGATGATCACATGCGGGGAAATCGTTGGGGAGGGGACCGGAGAATGGGTCCCATGGATGATTATCCGACCAAACGTCGGCGTTATTGACACGAAGAATGAACAAATAAAAAAAAAAAAATTATTTGCCATAATTTCTGAATGTAAAATGAATGAAATGATGCAATGATGGTGATGATGAAATTAAAAAAAAAATGAACGCGAAGGGGAAAAGAAAAAGAAAACAAAAAAAAACTATACAATATATTTGTTGAAGAAGACTCATAATACCCCAAAAAGAAAGGAAAAAAAGATGGCGGCAAATCGTAAACATATAAATAATAAGTAGTAGAAAAGGAAAAGGAAGAGGAAAGATTGAACTTGAAGTTTAGCATGAATTCTAAACCAAAAAAAAAAAAAATTTAAATGACTACGTCGACGACAAAGGAACTTGTTTGAGTCGAAAAGGAAAATTTTTTTTTTTTTAAATAAATAAATAAATAAATAATAGTGCAAAAATAAAAAACATTATGTACATAGATTATTGAATTACCGATTTTGATTTTAGCGGGTTTTTTTTTTTATTTCTTGTATTTTTAGTTTTTATCGTACCGTGTTTGCGCGATTATTAAACAAATAAATAAATAAATAAAAAGCATAAAGAAAATGAAAACATTAAGTAGTAGTAAGAGTTGGTGAAATTAATATTATGTACGTTTTTATTATTATTATTATTGTCTCGGTTTTAATAGATTGTTCAGAATAGGTAATTTATATTTCGTATAGATTTAGAATAAGGGAAAAAAAAAAAAAAAAAAAGGTTAAAGTGAGTTCAAGCTGACATTGTCTTGCAATATATACAAAAAATAACACAAACACACACAGACACGTGGACACACGTGGACAGAGAGAAACATACGTCATCGTGTTTATTATGTTTTTATTATTTTTCTTTTCTTTGTCGTAGTAGGTGAAATTTAAATGTTTTTAGAATGTCAATGGTAGCGTAGAAGAGTACAAAATAATTAATTCTATAAAGAATACCTTTTAACTTGCTTCGTTTATTACAATCGAGTTCTTTTCAGTATTTTTTTGTTTAATTAACGATTGATTGTTGGTCGTGATTGGTTTGATTAATTAATGTGTTTTTTTTTTGTTATTAAAAGATTTGAAAAAGCTCATCAATTGCACATGTGATATAATTATTAATAATGATAATATTTAATATGATAATATTTGATTTGACTTTTTCGTCGTACGTGGTATATGATATTGAATGGGAAAAAAAATTTTTTTTTTTTGTTTTTGTTTTTCTATCTCTCTTTCTCTCTCTCTCTCTCTCTTTTTGATAACAATAATAATTGTATTGCTATGATTTTGACATTGTTGTTGTTGTTGTTGTTGTTGTTGTCGTGTGCCCTTAATATTATTATTATTATTTTTTTTTTTACAGTTTTTTTCAAAATGTAGAATGTGAAGTTTATTAATATTATTATTATTAACGATTATATTCGCGGTTTGTTTTTTTTGATTAAAATTTTTGTATTTATTATAAATGTGTAAGGGGGTGGATGGGGGGGGGTGTGGATTGATTCGTGTTGTTGTTTTTTTTGTTGATTATAGAATACTTAAATTTAAGAAAAATTTAATAAAAGGATTTTTTCATTTTGTTTACGACAAAGAAAATAGACTGATGGTTGGGGAGGTGGGATCAGGGATCACCGGAATTCAATCGGGGGGAAAATTTGTGTGGGTTGGGTTGGGAGGGAAGGTCCATATTTGTAGACAATTGTCAGCTCTGCTCTCTACTGACACCTAATGACCGGCTAAACAAGCACTGCTAATAATATTAGGAAAATGTGTGTGAAAATTTTTCGCGTTTTGTAAGAAATTTTTTGTACTCGTGTTTTTGGGCACGTTCGAGTTGCCATTCGATTCGAAATCGGTGACGACTTAAATTATTGTTATGAAAGTTTAACGAGAGTGCATACGTGCATACTTACATATACGCATATATGCATAAAAAAATTATATAGTATTATTATTATGCGTTTGTGTGCGTGTTTGTTGTATATGTACGTATGTATGTATTTATCTAGGAGTTTATATAGATATATATATTCTTCAGTTTATTATTATTATGTTTTATTATAATTATTATTTTTAAACAAATACTATTATTATTATTATTAATATAATTATTGACTGTTAAATTTATATTTTAAATATGAGTTTATATGTGTATGTTTAATATATATATATATATGTAAATCTCATAACATAAATTTTAATGATATTTATATCTATAACGTGCGTGAAAATCTTATTATTATTATTATTATTATTATTAATATTATTAGCTACTAGCTTAAAATTGCATAATAATAATTTATTTTAATATAGACAAATTGATGGATGGATTGATTGATTTAATTAAATTTTTTAATTTGTGAATTTTTTTTTTTTTTTTTTTGTATAATAAGAGTATGATATCGATAATAGAGCTATAAGAAAAAGATAATAATAATGATTTCAACGATGAATAATAAAAAATAATAATAATGATATGAATGAATAAGGTTCCTAAATGACTGAATGAAACAAAAAATTAAATAAAAGATGGCGGTTAATTTAAAGTATTGATATAAATTTTCTTTCTTTTTATTATTATTATTATTATTATTACTATTTTCTGCCTATTGTTGTATTAAAAGAAAAGAAATAAACGATATAGAGAAGAAGATATAATATATATATAAATATTATAAAAGGATATAAATGTAATAAATAAATGAATATTTTTGGATTATTATTATTAATTATCCCACCCATTGAAATGATTATGTAATTTTAATATATATATATTAAAATAATATTTATGCGCGTGTGCGTGTGCGTGTGCGTGTGTTATGAATTTATAGAAAAAATTGTAAGACACGTTAGTTAGAGAATGAATGAATGAATGAATGAAAGAAAGAAATAATATCTCATATAGCACTGATGATTATATATATATATATATTTATATTATAATAATTTTAAATTTTTATTTATTTATTATTTTATTATTATTATTATTATTATTATTATTATAAATAATATTAATAAAGGTGAAAAATTAAAAAAAAGAGAGTGTCACTCACATCTTTTTGTTTATTTTATTTATGTTTAAATAAATGCTTTAAAAGTGCATACATAAATGCATAGATAAACATATATATATTATACTACTTTGATGACAATTAAATATTATTATTATTATTATTATTATTATTATTATGCTGAAAGCAAGCTAAATTGATAAGATATTTTATATATATCAAAGTGTGAGATTTTTTTTTTTTTTTTATTAATGTTTTTAATAGTTTTTCCAGAATTTGGAATTTTCCTCTCTTGTAGTTTTTTGTTCTCAATGAATTTTTTGGAATGATTTTTAATAATGGAAGAAATGAAAGAAAAATGAAAAATGTTTTAGAATTAAAATATTCTTCCATTATAATAATGATAATATGTAATAAAATACGAGTTATGTAAATATTTATATATTTTTCAAATGTGTATACAATCAAATCCTCTTTAATAACGCGGCGTCACAATGGGGAGGGAGGGTTAACGAATGCAAACAAACAAAACAGTCACCGATTATTATTATTATTTTTTTTTCTCGTAAGTTTAACATGAAATTTTTTTTTTGGTGAGAATCGTAAAACGATGAAATTGACTTATTTAAATGTAGTCTTTATACTTTAGGCAAATTTATTTATTCCCCCTCCCTTTTTTTTCCCCTCCTCAAGGATTTTTTTTAAAGGTTTACTTGTGTACTTGAAGTGTGTGTGTGTGCGCGTGAATTTCTCGAGTATGGTTGCACTTAACCAAATATTGTAATGTCAACACAGTCGGTGTGTGGTTGCTTATCGGGTGAAAACCTTTATGATAATTACAAAAGGCTACAAAAAGTTTTAAGGCATTTTTACGCGTGAAAGGGAAAAACCGCGTTAACGCGAAAAAGGGGGTATCAAGGAACGATATCGATTCCGCGTTATTATTAACAGAGGTATACGATGATTGTATTCATATGTATAAATAAAAATAGTATTATTATTATTATTTTTCGCAATGGAGGAAATTCATATTTTAAAATGAAGAATACAAATGATATCTAACGAAGAAAATACAATTGATAAATATATATATATATTTATCATCATCATGTTAATTAGTAAGTTAAAATTTTTATTATTACTTATTTGTATATATTACCGATCGATTGATTATTGATCGATCCATTGATTGATTTGATTTTTATTTATTGAAAAAAAAAATGAAAAAAAGAAGAAATGGATTTTCGTTGAATTCGTAGTTTTTTTTTTTTTCTGTTTTACTTTGTATCTCTTGCGGTGATTATTATTATTATTATGAAGATGATACTCTGGAAGAATCGGGAAGGGGGAGAGGGAGAGGGGAAGAGTTTTATTATTATTATTGTATTCAGTTGGGTTGTTTGAAATTTAAAGCATAAAAATAATGTCTGCGTTTAATGAAAACGATTCGATTAATCGTTTAAATCCGCGATCGAGTTTTATCGATTTATCGATTTTTTTTTGTCAATTGAAATTTTACTAAAAAATAAAGTCCGGTAACTTGACTTATTTTTGACTATATTAAAAATAATTATTAAATTATTTCTAGATATATTATTATTATTATTATTACTTGTTTATTGTAACAAGGGGTGGGTGGGGAGAGGGGTAAGTTTAGGGTAATAAACTTTAAATTTAAAACGGATTTAAAAAGTTTTTCACTTTCTAAAAGTCTCGTCCTTTTTTTTCTACCGATTTTGATCGGAGTCGATCGTTGATCGAAGGTAATAATTATTACCTTGTAAAAAACTTATTACTTGTAAAGGTAAGAAGATCTCATTTCTCTCTCTCTCTTTCTCACTCTCTCACTCTCTCTCTCTCTTTCTCTCTCTCTCTCATTTTTTCTCTCTCTTGACTTAAATTTTATTTTATATTTTCTTGATTTATTATTTAGTATATTATCTCTTAGTATCGTATTTTACGCGCTAAAAATCACGTGCATCGAAAATTCTAGAATTTTCATGTAAAAAAAATTTTTTTTTTCGGGGGGGGGGATGGAGAAAATTATAAAATATTTTTTTTAAAATCGATTTTATCGATTAATTATTGATTTTTTTGATTTGATTTGATAATATTGCCGATCACTTACGTGTCAAAGTTAACTCGCGTAATTTTTTTATGAATGAATTCAAACGATGGGAAAAGTTGCGGAAAAGTCGAATCGATAATAATGATAATGATAAAGACGATGATCGTCAATAATAGAGTTTTATGATGTTATTTATTTTTTATTATTATTGTTTTTGTAAGGGAAACAAACGGCAGGCGACGTGATGTCGTTCGACAAACGATTAAGCAACGGGTAATTTATAAATAAACGTTTGTTTTTCTCGGAAAAACAAACGACAAACAAAAACAAAATGGATTCTTTCACAGGGGGGGGGTATAAAAATTTTTTTTTTTTAAATTTTCATTTTTAATTTTTTATTATAAAAAAAAAGGAGGTTTGTCGTTGCACGTGACGTAAATGCACGGGAAAGTCACGTGACAACAACATAAAAAAACTCAAATCGTGATGCTTTTTTTTTATACAAGAAAACAATCCGTCCGTTCCTGGAACGATAACTACTGGAATGATAATAATAATAATAATAAGATCGTAAAATTAATTTTTTTTTTTTTTCAAAGCGACTGTAAATTTATTCTTCATTCATTTTGAATAATAATAATAATAATAATAATAATAATAATAATAATAATAATAATAATAATAATAATAATAATAATAATAAAACGACAAAAAAACGTTAAAGAAAATGACGAAAGCAAGAACGACGACGATGATGATGATATCGAAGTCGGTTTATTTATTTAATAATTAAATTAATAACAATAAAATGATTTTTATACAAATTATCATAATTTGCCCATTAATAATAATGATGATAATGATCTTAACTATATATATTTTTGTAGAGAGTAGAGAGTATATCTTTATAGTCAAAAAGATTTTTAAGAAAAAATTTTTTTTTTTTTTCATAAGCTCCGAGCGAGCAACGCGAATTAATTTTATTATTATTATTATATGTCCACTTTTGAACACAAGATTTTTTGTACTCGTCGGAGTTTTTAAATAAATTATTCCAGGTTTCTTCCCGATTCCTTAAAAATGAATGTTCGAATATCAATGATGCTATTTAGAAAATTTTCCGAAGAATTGAGGGCCCTTTCACGTGACGCGATTTTTCCACGCGTTAGCCAATCATGCGAGTTATTATTATTAATATCTGAAACGTTTACTCCCTTCAAATATTCTCCATGCAACTTTTTCTATTCCCTTTAGCTTCTGGAATTGAGCTTTGCTGTCGTTAGTTGCAATCTCCCATTTTTTTCTGGTTCATTTTCTTTATTCTTTATGCCCTTCTTAGTACTCCTCTTTTCGTGATTTTTTTCCTCCATGTGTACTATTTGGGCTAAAATGGGGGGGTGCTGTTGATGGGATTATTTTCTCATCCCGACAATGGCTGTTTGGTTCGCCGCTTCTTCTTGGCTTTTTAGTCCTCTTCCTCCATTTTTCCTATTGACCTACAGCCTGGATGAAATGCGCCGTTCATTGTTAATTTTTTTCTTGTTCTCCGATCTGGATTCACGATTTCTTCTTTTGTTCAATTTACGAGGCCAAAGCACTGGCTCATACATTCGATCCTTAATATTCTATTATTATTATTATTAAATCGCTTTGTGTCGGGTTGTTGGAAAACATTTTTTTGTTTTATTTTTGATTTCTTTTTACTCGCTAAGTAAGTTTAAAAAAAAAAAAAAACAAGAGAACAAACGTGATTTTTTTTGCTATACGAAACAATCGAATCCGATGCTATCGAACGACAATAATTAAATAAAATTAATAATTATTAATTAACATTTTAACGTACATACATAAGACCACGTTTTCCAAAATTTTTTTTTTTTTTTTGCTTAAAATTACAATCATGAAATTTGTTGTTATTGTTATTGTCTTACGTATCATTTTTAAGTTTTTTTTTGTTATTTTTTTTTTTTTTTTTGGTTTTTTCCAGGAGGAGCATTTTCGAATTCGAGGTATAGGATAAGAAATGGACGAAGTCAATTTTGATTCGAGGTTAGTTGCATTATCTTTTATTATTAAAAAATTTAAAAAACAAAAGAATAATAATAATAATAATTTTTTTATCTTTATTTTTCGCGCATGCAGAAAATTGATTTAAGAGAAAAAAGGAAAAGCAGAAGACGGGAAAGATTTTTCCGGGGAGTAGTAATGTTAAAGTTGTTTTCGCTATGGAAATTTACTGAAGAGATGATGAAAGCTCAGGAAAATCGGTAACGAATATTTCTCTATTTATTATTATTATTATTATTATTATCATTTACTTAATTTTTATTGAATTTATTTTGTTTGTTTGTTTGTTTTTCCGTAGAAAAATTTTTGAGGAGGCAACAAACGTCAAAGAGGAACAAACCGTTTATCATTCACGTGTTATTTTTCGCATCGTGATTTTATATTTATATATAATATAAAAAATGCTCCATTTTTTAATTTATATAATTACGTAGTATTACGTAGAAGTGAAATTATATTATCATAATATAAAATAAATAAATAAATGTATTGAAGTAATTAATGAGTTTTATTTAATGTTTTTTTTTTACATTTCGCCATTGCACTTTTTGTTTCCCCTTCCTAATTAATATCTTTTTCTATTGCGTAATAAATATTCAATTAAGTCTGCGTTTTAAAATAAAAATTAAGTTAATAAAAAATAAATAATTTATTTTTATTGTTGTTAATAATTATTATTCAATTAAGTTTTTCTATTTTAGTAAAAAAATTTTTTAAATAATATCTTAATTCGAATTCAAAGTTGCAGTGGTATAAGAAAAGTAAGTGCGCTCCATTCTACGTACACGATATAAAAATAAATATGGCGTCTTATTTGTAATGTTGTTATTACAATTTTTGATATTAAATATCGTGTTAATGAACGTTCTGTAGGTTTTTGTGTAGTTTATCGATAAGTAAAAGTTAAGGTTGAAATTATGAATAGTTTAATACCAGCTGTATTTGGTATACAGAGTACGGCAGGAGCCGTACCTGTAAGGAATGATAAGGGTAAATGAAAACAGTAACGGACTTTCGTTCGTTTTGATGTTTTTAATAATTTTTATTTATTTCATAATGATGTATTTTAGGAGAAGTATCTATGCAAAAAGTAAAAGTTCATAGATATGTTTCGGGTAAACGTCCAGATTATGCACCCGCTTCGACTAGTGAAGAAGAATCAGATAGTGAAGGATTTGTCGAACAGCAAAATCAAAGGTCTAATAAAAGAGCACATTCTAGATCTCCTCCTGTTCATGAAGAAGAAAGAGATTTTAGTCACAATCATGATAAAGATCCTAGGTTAAGGAGATTTGAAAAAATAAGTAAAATTGCCAGTGATGACAGCGATTCAGAAATTAGACAAGAAAGACACAGGTTGTTAAAACTAATGCACAAAATAAAAATTTTTTTTTCTAAACCCTTATCATAAGGTTTTTTTTGAATATTTTTTCTTGTTAGGCATATTTTGGAACCTGAAGTGTTAGAAGAAGGTGATACCATAATAGATAAAAGAGAAGATGAAAGTAGTGATGAGGGAGAGCTTAGCGATGAAGAAATCGAAAGAAGACGTCAACTTTTAAAACAAAAGTTACTTAGTAAAAAAGAAGATGAGGTAAATTTATTGATAACCTTAAAATAATTTATTGTAAATTAATTAATATTATTATTATTTTTTATGCTCTTTCATTCATGCTGAGACATTTTGTTTCTTTAGGATGTAGAAATTTTAGGTAAAGAAGAAGAAAATAAATCAGTTGCCTCAAGCGAGGAAGAATCATCTGAATACGAAGAATATACAGGTATGATTGCTTTTAATAAAGACTAAATTAGCAAACCTAATGTGTGTGTGTGTGTTTGCCTTACAAATTTTTATTTGAACTTGTAGATTCAGAACCAGAAACTGGCCCTAGACTGAAACCAGTTTTTGTTAGAAAAAGAGATAGGATAACAATAATGGAAAAAGAAAAAGAAGCACAAAAACAAAAACAAGCTGAAATCGAAAGTAAAAAAATGGCTGAAGAACGAAGGAGGCACACATTAAAGGTTTCATTTATTTATTTATTTATTTTTTTTGCATCTTATCATTAACGTCAACTTCTACTAATATTTGTTATATTTTATTTGTTAGATGATAGAAGAAGACATTAGGAAAGAAGCTGCCATTAAAGTCGGTGATGAAGTAAAAATTACTGATGTTAATACTGATGATGAAAATGATGAAGTCGAATATGAAGCATGGAAATTAAGAGAATTGAAACGTATAAAAAGAGATAGAGAAGAAAGAGAAGCGTTAGTTTTAATTTTTTTAAAAAATTTAATTTCAAATTTATTTTTATTACGTGTAAAAAAAAATGAATGATAATTTCTTTTTTTTAACCTAACAGTCTGGAAAAAGAAAGATTAGAATTAGAACGTATTAGAAATATGACCGAAGAAGAAAGAAGGGTGGAATTGAGAAACAATCCGAAAATAATAACAAATAAATCGACGAAAGGAAAATATAAATTCCTTCAAAAATATTATCATCGTGGTGTTTTCTATCTGGTAAATTTAATTATAATTTTTTTTTTAATTTTTTTTCCAACTCGATGATGTTTGCATTACAAATGGCGTTTGATTTTTTTTTTTTTTTCATAGGACCAAGACGATGATGTTTTCAAACGTGATTTTTCGTCTGCAACCCTCGAAGATCACTTTGACAAAACGATACTTCCAAAAGTGATGCAGGTAAGTGATGCAATTTGAAAATCCGTTGAAATTTTTAACGCGAGTAAAGAAGATATAATAATTTTTTTTTTTTAAATTTTAGGTTAAAAACTTTGGTAGAAGCGGCCGTACGAAATATACTCATCTTGTTGATCAAGACACGACACAATTGGATTCCCCCTGGACAGCCGACACGGCACAAAATTTAAAATTTTTTAACAATCAAGCTGCCGGAATGAGACAAGTTTTTGATAAACCTACAAAAATAATGTCTAAAAAAAGAAGTGCGAAATAAATTTTTTAAATGTAAATAACAGACTGATTTACAAATCTTAAATAGTAACGAAAGAGAGAGAGAGAGAGAAAGAGAAAACATAATAAAAAGCTCTTGTTCATTTAATAATTTTAATTATTTAAAATATCACACATAAATAAAAAAAATATATATATAAAAAATTACATCGGATTAATTAAATATAATCCTTTTATTAATATATATTATTATTATTATTATTAAATAATCGGGGATTTTATATATAAAAAAAAAAAAAAAAAAAAATTTCTAATATATGTCGTCGTTTTCATCGACCAAAGCAAATTTAAAAACTAAATTTGAAGCTAATATCAAAGCGTTTAATGTTGGAACACCAACAGCGGCGTATATAGGAAGCGGATTCGGATCTTTTAACGAACATATTATGATGGCGGAAAGTAAACCACCGAATCCGAATGTGAGCGATAAAAAAAATATCAAACGATGACAGAATATTAATCTCGTGACCGTGTAATTTTCAACCAAACTAGAATTCGGTATGCAACCATTTATTAAAAGGGATATTGTGCTTAATAATATTGGTAAATATAAAACCCCTTGTTTGTATGAAGATGTTTCCGGATAATAAGCTAATATATCAATCATTATCCACCATGCTAAACCAAAAGCAGCACCGCAAACGCTTGATACAATCATATTTCTAGTAAAAGCTTCCATTTTTATTTATTTTTATTTAATTTAAACTTTAACGTTAAATGATAATGATTATTATTTTTAAATATATAATACTTTTTCATTCGGTCCAGGATTTATTATTATTATTATTATTCAAATCCGATTATTATACGTACAAAGTGTGTGTGCCTATATATTTTCTTCAGGTGGGTTAAAATGAATAATCATATTTATAAATAATAATAATAATTTTTTGGTTTCATTATTAAAATAGAAAAAAAAATTTTAATTAATTTTTAACCTTCTCGTCGTGAATTTAAAAACATAAACAAACAGAAAACAATAATTTTTTAATAATTTTTTATTTTGTTAAATTTTTATTTAAATAATGTAAAATTAATTAATTTATTTATTTATTTATTTGTTTATTTATTTATTTTATTTTTTACTCGATGATGATAAAAAAAAAAAAATTATTAAATTATTAATTTTTATAATTAAAATAAAGTATTTATTATTATTATTATGTTTGAACACGACGAATTCCATGTACTAATATTACTACTTGTCGGATGAAATTTTTAAATAAAATTTATTTAAAATCTCTACTGTGTTATCCCACGGGAATAAATCCCTAAATCCGAATGAGTTTCATTCTAAATAACACGAAATGAAATTTTTTTTTTCGTGAGTTTTTTTTTTCGAGTTTTATCTTATTTACAAAAAGTTTTGTATCTTTTGAATTTTTGGAGGACTCCAGTGACGACAGAAGAATCCGTGGAGTAATCAGGATGAGGGCGGGGGTGGGTGGGGGTGGGGTGTCTGTTAGAAGAAGAAAAATTTTTCCAGGTTTTAATGAGAAGATTCCCGAAGGTATATAACTCTCATACAAATTTAGAAAATAATTAAAAATTATATAAATTTTTATTTAAACGATTGATGAGATTTAAATTCTTTTTTCCAGGAAGAGAATCACGGGTACAATCCTGGAGAATAAAAAAAAAATTGTTATAAATTAAAGTGGAGATTTCATCTTCTCCAGCACTACAATTTTTTTTTTAAAGTGATAACGCCCATTAACAAATTGCATTTTTACGTGATTCTTAATAGTTTACCATTCATATCGCAAAAAAAAACTATTATTATTATTATTATTTATCTTTTTAAAAAAATGATAATAATAATAATGCGTTTAAAAAAAAAATAAAATTTTTTTCTGGAAGATTGAATTTGTTTTTCCAGTTAATACTTTTGTTTGTTTGTTTTTAAAAAAATAAATCAATTTTAATCTTTAAATCGTATATGATGGAAAAGGGATTTTTTATTGAATTTGAGTGTAATGTTAGTCAATCAATCAATCAATCAGTCAGTCAGTCAATCAATCAATCAATCCATTGAGTGTCGAATTTGGTTGTGATAACACAAGTCATGGGTTATAATCGTCATGACTGTTATTTACTTATTCAGTCAAAAAATGTGGAAAAAAATTTTCCGTTAAATTTTCCTTCCATTTTTATTTTTTTTAAATTCAGTTGTTTGTTACGCAATTAAAAAATAAAAAATATTTCAAATGTTACCCGGAGAAAAAAATAGAAAAAAAAAAACTTTCTGCGGTTTCCCCTTCCGCCCAACCCCCCCACTCCCCCGCTTCACGAAGAATTCAAATAAAAAAAAACAAAACAAAATGTTTCCAAAAAAAAAAATTTACAAACAAATTTTATTTTTTCGTTTTTGCCTTTTTTTTGAACAACTTCCTCCCCTCCCCTCCCCACCACCACTGCAGCCATCACCACCACTTCTTCTTCTTCTTCTTTTACCCTTTTGGCAGACGAAAAAAGAAAAAAAAATTTTTTTTTTCACCAACTTTTTTAAATAATAAAAAAAAAAAAAAAAAAAAAATTTCGAATTATTATTATTATTAATATTTTTTTTGAAGTTTTTCTTGTTGTTTTTTTTCCCACCACTGCTACTTCTTCTCCTGCTGGTGGTGGTGGTGATGGTTGCTGTTGTTCTTTTAAATATTGACAACAAAAAAAAAAACAAATCAACAAATGTCAAATATTCTAATTTTTTTCTTAACACGTGTCACGTGTTTAACAATTTTTAATTATTATTATTATTATTATTATTATTAAAAACATTAAGAGATTTCAAGGTTTACATTTAATATTGAAAATGAAAATGTCAGTTTTCAAATTTAATTAAATATTAAAATTTTCTTAATTTAAATCGTATATGTATATATAAACATAATAATAATAATAGTATTGTTTATGTTTAGGTTTTATATTTTCCGGGTTTTTCCAGATGTAACGCCAAAAAAAAAAAAAAGTTGTACGTGTTTCAAATATCATTGATGACGTCAATGATCGACGTTTTCATATTTTTTTTTTTTTTTTATTAAAAACTCGTCGTATGGCTTTGATTTTGACAATCGTGATCACGACGACGATGATGATGATGGTGATGACAACGACGACGACAATGATGACACGTCATAAATATTGAATGATAACAACTTCACGAGTGTATATGTTTACGACATTTTTTTTAATATGATTATTATTTTTTTTTTTGTTTGTTAACCCAGGAGGAATGCATTTCGCACTGACCTCCCCACTCGGTTAGCAGGGAGAGCATGGGATTCAGCCGAAACCATTACCCAACTAAAACTCCTGGACGTGTTTCATCGTGCTCTTTCTCCTGAAGGGAGGGGCGCATTTCAGCTTCAACCCCCTCCTGAGCCGGAACTATCAAGTCCACACTCGCGAAAGTGGAAATGCCCCACCTGAGGAAGATCCCGGTACTTCTTCTTCTTACCCTTCTAGAGAGATATTCCCAATCTGTTACCATCGTTCCTGCCTCTTCCGCAAAGTCTGCGAGTGTCCGGAGAGAGAGAGAGATGTCTGGGGTTGCGAATCCCGTTAATCTATCATCTGTCTTCCTTTCACACCGCAGCTCAGCATTTTCCCTATTTGGATCAAGTACCCAGTTGTCACCCCCTCGAAAAAGGGATCGGCGCATCCCCATCGCCTGATCCCAAACCCCAAAAGATGTTAGGCCACTTATTCCCTAACGTAGGTACAGGTCCGTTCTTGTTTGGACGAGTTCAAATTGAACTCCAACTCCCAGGATTTGAACTCACGTCTTTCAACTCGATGACCTTTAGGCCGATTTTTTTCCTTTTCGGACTCAACCTGGCTACCTCGGGCCCCCCTCCCAAGGCATCCAAGTTGAAGATTTACCCCTGGCGGACGGTGCCTGGTCAATGTGGAAAATCTAATACCAGAATCTCTGCCTCTAAACCATCCTCCAAACCTTTTTTTTTTTTTGTTTTGATGACCCAGGAGAAATGCTGTTACGCACTAACCCCTCCTTTTTGCGGACGGAGTGTGGGGCTCGGTATGGATTAAAAGAAAGCCTAACCGGAAACCCATACCCACTAAAACTCCTGGGCATGTCGCAATAGCGTGGCTTATGTAAAGAGGAGAAGGGAGACGCTCGTGGAAGTAGAACGTACATTTCAGTCTCCCAAAGATACAGGTCTGTTTTTATTGGACGGGCTGAAACTAGATTCCCACTCCTGGGAACACTCTTGGGCTATCCCACTACTGACCAACACGGGAACTTTTGGCTGCTGAGTTTCCCCCCTGGCCCGATTCGCCCCTCTTTAGCCAACCTGGCTACCTCGGGCTCCCCCGTCCACCCATGTTGATGCCGATCTTAGTGCGGACGCCTAGTCTACTTGAGGCATCCAACCCCTGGACCCCCGCTCTCAAAACATCCTCTATACCAGGCCTCCTAGTAGTTGGGTTACAGGATTACACCACCACTCCCGGCTCATTTTTTCTCAATCTGCCCCAAATTTTATATATTTATTTATTCCTTTTCCAATTTTTCCAGCAGAAAAAACATTTAAAAAAAAAAAAAATTCTGGACGATGAATACGTTCGCTTTAAACGTGAATGAAAATAATTAAAAAAAAAAACGTGTAAGAAGAAAACGATGTTTTTCTTTTGTTTCGTAATTTTTTTAACATCAAAAAAAAAAATAATAATAATAATAATTTAATGTAATTAAAATTGAAGAGGGATGGAATGGGACTGGGCACGCAAAAGGAAAACGGAATTAATAATTTTTTTTATTATTTTTAATATAAAATAATTTATTTATTTATTTATTAATTTATTTATTTAATATTTATGTATAAATATATTTTTTTTTTCTTCAAAAACTAATTTTTATTTATTTTTTTTATTAATAATAATCAAAAGCTCACAAATTAAAAATTTTCAACAAATGATTTGCAACGTTATTATTATTATTATTTATTTATTTATTTAAAAAAAATAATAATAATAATAATAAAAAACAAAAAATAAACGAAAACTTAGGAATCACAATTGAAAAAAGTTTGCGATGATCGTTTTTTTTCCAGGAAGAAAAAATTCGTTTGTACCTTTTTTTTTGTCCATTGAAAAATTTCCTTTTTATCATAAACGATGTTATTGATTTCCTTTGGAAGATGATTAAAATTTAATAATAATAATAAAATATAAGGGAGACGGCAGAGAGAAAATTTTTTTTATCAATTTCAAAGTCCACTCGATTGTGATATCAATTGAAATTCTGCCGTCTCGTCTTTTTGTCAAAGGGGTCTTAGTCCTTCCTGATGGGGTATCGACATATCTACTCTTTGGCTGATGGAATTGTCGCTGGAAAAACAAAAGAAAATTTTTGTTAACAACCGTTATAAACAACCGAACGATTACGATTAAAAGGAAAAAAAAATTGGAAGAAGAAAAAACGTCAAATAATATTAATAAAAAACCTCATGATGTACCTGACGAAGTATTTCCGGTTTAGTTTTTTTCTTGCTACTACTACTACTTATATTACTTTTTATTTTTCATCGTAAAATTTTTTTTTTTACCTGGAGGAATAATAATAATAATAATAAATTCATGTTAAATTTCGAATAAAACCGGAAATAATTCGTACATGACGCGAAGTGAAACGCGCGCGAGAAAGAAAAAAAAAAGGAGAGAGAAAAACGGAAGAAGAAGGTGAAATGCGGCGGCGAAGAAAATAAAAAAAAGGAGCGGATTTAAAGAGGAAATAAAATTTTCTTTTAAAAGAAAAATCATTTTTCCAGTTACCCTGGTAACATGATCGATGACTTTTTGAATTTTCAAATAGTTTTACCGATTTTTTTTTTATTACTTTTTTTTTTTCTCCTGGAGCGATTGAAGAATGAAAAAATTCCATTCATGAATTTCTATTCGGATGCTTATATAAGACAAAAAAGTCACCTTGAGAATTTTTCATTGTCACTTTTATTATACGAGAAGGAAGGAAAAGAGAGAGAGAGAGAGAGCGAAAGAAAACCGTTAAAAAAAAAAAAGCAATTAATAGAAACGGTCTTACCTTTTAATCTCTCTCTCTCTCTCTCTCTTTTCCATGTCTCATTACTTTTCTTCCATCTTTCTCTTTCTTTTTCTTTTCCTTCTCTCATTCCTTTCCTTCCCTCTCTCTCTGTCTTGCATTTCCCCTCCCCCCCTCGTTTTTCGATTTCTCTCTCGTTTTTCTTTTTTTCTTCATCGTGAAAGATTCCGTTTGATTTCTAATAATTTTTCATTTTTACTTAAATTTAGAATTTAATTTCATGGAAATAATTTAATTCCAAGAATAAGGTAATAAGAAAAAATGGAGAAAATGGAGAAAAAAAAATTTTATTTAATTCATTTCATTCCAGGATTATGGAGAAAACGTTTTTGGATTTTCAATGGAAAAAATAAGTAAATAAAAAATTTAAAAAAAATTTTTTTTTTTTTTTTGGAAGTTATTAGAGCGATAAAAATTACTTAATCATCAAATATTTTTCCGTGTTTATCAATATGATAAATAATTATCAAATCACTCTCTCTATCTCTCTCTCTCTCTTTCTCTCTCTTTTGAAATTCTCCAGCGATTGAATTCGTATCGAATTTTTTTCTATAAAAAAAAGCGTAAAATTGCTCGAAGTCCTTTTGTTGCGGCGGAAAAAAAATATCGATAAAAAAAAAATTTCTATTTTTTTTTTCTTTCTTCTATCTTATAAAATATTGTCGGAGAGTTCGGAA